AATCCAAAAAAGGCGGTAATGACAGAAGTTTTTCAGTTTTCAGTTTATTATATTTAACTTGACACAAAGAGCCCTTTCAGAAAGACCAGTAGCATTTCACATTATCAAAATCAATGTAAATTATACATAATTATCAATTAGTTGGGTCTTGCTCTGTATTTCACTTAATAACCAGTGACTTCCATTGCCTTCAGCAAAGTACAAGAACCCTGGGATGAGATGTCTCGTAGAATGTAACGTTTCCTTCTAAATCAGTTACGAACTTTTCTTGAGTTTACATTTTTTCTTCATTTGTGGCCTGATCCAATACGTTACATTCAATTAGGGTCTTCCAGTTCATTTCAGCAGCACAGGGATTAAGTCTACAGCACTATGCACATAATATCCACATTAAAGGAGGCAATGGCATAGCAGCCAACTCCTGCACGGCAGGGAAATTGCACTGGGAGCAAGTACCCAAAAGAAGGTGCGTCACACTGGTGTAATGTGTCCACAGTGACTCAGAGGGATGAATGCCAACTCATACTCAATCAATATCATTCCTCACACAACTTCCTTAGGAGCTCTTCTTCCACTAGCCGTACTCAGTTTGTGCCATGCATGTACTTCCCAATTATATGATGGAAAGTTTGGAAATAGCAGGTTTTCTGAACCAGCAGTTCTGAAAGAAATAGACAAAATATGCAGCTGGTAGTCTCTAGAATGACTGGTAAGTAATTATTGCAAATAATATGGAATTATGTCACAGTGGTTGAAAATAGCATCTGAGTTTTGATGGGAAATTTTGAAATTAATCCAAACACAATTCCCTTATCAACTGTATTGCAGTAGCACATATGTAACAGTCAGACCAACTGATTGTGATATAATATGCTACACATAAATATTATTTGTAGTAGTTATTAATCTCTGAAATATTATCTTTAAAGGCTGGAAACTGGACAAGTGTTTGTTAGATATTTATATATTGTGAATATCTAGTGAATTTATTCATTTTTACAGTTCAAAAGGATTTGAAATATTCTTTAAAACCACTTCACTAGAATCCTTCAAGCAGTTTAACTGTGTGTCGTTACAGTGGCTAGGAAACTGCTGTAGAAAAAAAATTTGCTCCAAAGCTTATGCACTCAAATAAGGGAAAATTAGAGTTGAACAAAATATCAGTTTGATTACCTGAATATTTTAAATGTTCATCTTCTATGAAGATTGTTAGATTACCCTTTTTTCGCTTTTTAGCAACTAATACATATCAAAAATTTCATGGATGCTCAGAGTGATGTTATTACCTCAAAGTTAAAAAGGAAAAAGGATTCTATTCCAGTTTGTTAAATGGCATTATGACTTCAGTGTCATGTAGATGTTTCTGCTTAATAAGTCATTATTATGACTTTATTGATGAAATACTGTGGCACTATAAACATCAGACCAAAACATAATACTTGTATTGCAGTTTATTGCAGTTTGCTGCCTTAAGTAAAATCTTCTCAGCTTTCTATAGCAATTGCTGCAGAAAAGAGCAAGAAATCAAACATGATTCCAAAGTATTGCTGTTCGGTCACAGGCTTGTGAGGAAAGTACCTTAGATCATAGTCCTTCCTACAATGTCTCTTTACACATTTTTCTGTAAAAGAACAATTGTCTGCAATTAGATTACTTGCTAGATACAGTGTCACCAGGTCAGGGGCTGATTTCATCACGCACCAGACACATTTGCATATATTAATACATTCAACATAACAGTATTTAAAAAAAAAATCTTTCTTCTTCCTTGGTCACACAAGCAGCACCTGAACAGAAGATTTTTTTTTTTTCCTGTTGCTTACTGAAAGTCTTCTAAAAGGTGTTACAGCAATTGTAATTTGTACAGCTGAGATGGAATGACTCTTTATATAGTTTTCATTGTAGTTGCACTTACAATGTCTATTACTGCAAACCTGTGGAAAGCATACGTGCATTAGAGCATTACCCCTAAGGAGACAGTTAAAAAAACCCACAGTGTAATCAAGACTGTAAAAAAGGTGCTTTTACTGGAACCGTGATAGATAAAAGCAGCTAAAGTGCCCTACACGCACAGATTACAGGTTACAGATTTTACAGTTTACAGAAATCTTATCAGTATTTTTTTTATTGATTGATGATACAGTAATACAGAATAATGTGCCATTATTGCTAACGGGAACTGCGAAGGTCCTTGTTATGAAATAGATGCTTAGAAAAAATACGCTGCACTACAAGGAATGCAGCAGCACAAAAAGGATTAATAATATTGGGTTTACTATACTGGAGATTCCGTTTATCTAGAATCAGTTATGAGAAAGGTTTAGTATTTCCAGCATAATCTCTGCTGAGCACATTTGCACAGCATACAGTTGGCAGGTCTAGTTCATGGCTGACTCAGTGTTATAATAATTTTTCAAAGCAAGAGTGGACTTTTTAGAGAGAGTTTTATTGTGTAGCTACTACATTTGTCTTCCAGAGAGTCCAAAATTTATATATCTGTATAGGAAAACATGGTGCCAGCTTTCCTTCCAGGAACAAAGGGACAGATCTCCTAACTGCGTACATATGTATTCTGTGTTGTCTCACATTTGTGCTAACTTGTGCAAGTTTTTCAGAAATTAAGAAAGCAATCCATGGGTCCTAATCTAAATTTAGCATGCCTACAGTGATGTTCCTGTGCTTTCTAACTGAACCCCTGGTTACTGTGGATAAACCTGCCTAAAATCGTCCCATTCAAATTGCTATGAGCTGACTCACACGGGCACCTGTTTTCTCTGTTCTTTGGTTTCTATAAACTGAGAGGTAATACGCATGGGTACAAAATGACTATGTAGATCATATGAAGTATTTTCCGGTGTTCTCGTAGGCCAATATTAGGAATTGAGGATGCATTTTTCACTTGGATGTAGCTACAAGTAATATCCTAGCAGACTCTTTTGAAATATTCTTTGCGAGGTATAATAGCCTGAAGAAAAAAACCTCAATTTTTCATTAGTGACTTTTGTGTTCATTTCTGATGTGTTAGAATTTAGATCTTAACTTAAAAGAGAAAAAAAAAATTAATGGTATTGTGTAAGTTGTACCCTCTGGGACAAGGTTGCACATTGTTAGCAGCAGCTCATTTCTAAAAGTGAAATAAGCATTTGCTTTGTAATAATACAGCAAACATTCTTAAGTTGCATTGTATAATATAATAACCTATTAATGCAACATTGGAATGAAAAGATGCTGTTCATTGCAGAAATTCCACTTTATTGGAATGCAATATAACACAGATCTTTATTAATAATGACTTAAACAGTAGATGTGCAGGGAATTTGATTGCAGTAAGATAATTGTTCTCTAAGACTGGTATCACCTGTAAGAATTACCTTTTATTGAGTAATTGTTTGGTCATCTAGCTGTCTACAATAATAGATTGTGGAAAAACTCCTACCAGAATAAAAAATGAGATTCTTCAGTTCTGTAGAAGGTAAGAACCATGAGAGTACACGTATGTTTTTCTCTCTGTGGTTCTGTTTAAGGCTCGTAACCAATGATATTATTCTAGGGAGAATTTGTAGTACTCTCAAGTAGTGACTGGGCATGAACAAGTGTAATATTTAGACAGAAACTGATTTCCTGATTTTCCTGGAGTGTGATGAAAAGGCACTGAAGGTGAAAGTGCTAACACAATGCTAAAAAGGCAGTAAGAACCCACAGGGGCACTTCATAAGCTCATGCCCACAAAACTTAATAATTCACTGTATAGTAATATGCTTTTGAAACACTTGTTTCTTGTATGGCACTGTGGTATTACTAGTGTGCTGATTTGGCATAACAATAAAACTAAAAAATTCCTGTTAATGTACCTGGTCAGATCTGAAAAACACCAAATGTGTATTTCACAGTGCATGTGCGCTGGCAGAGTGGTGTATTTGTGTGTGTATGACAGAGGATGGGATGCTCCCACTGTTATATAAAATCAGGTTCACGTCTGAATATATATGAAAAAAATTGTGTAATACTATGTTATGGTGCAAGCAGAAGAAGCAAAAATGAGGTTGGAAAGAGGAGAGTTCTTGATACATAGGATTTACACAAGAACGCCATTCCTGCCGAGCATCTGTATTAGGCTACTTTCTAAGGGAGCTGGGAAAAGAGATTGGTCTTTTGCTTAAGGAAGAGTGTGCAAGTGACATGACACCTCAAACAGATGAGATCTATGGAGATTTTAGGAAGCTGTGAGAAGAAAGTGAAGGAAGGACTACTCTGCTCAAGATTTGTGGATCCGTGGCTTCCTGCCATGGGAGAAGGAAATGAAAGATTCTGGAGTGGAAGAGTGGAGCTGCCCAGGGCCCGAAGGGGCTGGACGGGAAATGCAGGAAGTGGTTACAGGTGGCTCCATGACTCCTGCCATCCATATCCATTATGTTCAAAAGAGGATGGCACTGAGAAGGTGGAAAAGCCCGTTTGAAAAACTTCAAAACCACTTTATTAAACCAGCTTTTCTACTTTTGCCATGTATAAATCAGATGTCTGTAGAACTGCATAGTTGTCTCTTCTTGTTCTTAACCATATCTGATAAATGCAGCCCATTTACTAATGCAGGTTTCACAGATTCATACAGGACTGGTATTTATCCCTGCTACTTCATTTGGCTATTACACAGCTACAGTTGTCTTTTCTAACTTGATGCCTGACACAGCTTCTTAAACGTTTCATACCAACCAAAGCAGCATGTAAAGACCAGGAAGTCAGCAGGTTTGCTGGATTTCCTCACTGCAGTGAAGAGAGCTGAAGCACCTCACTTGTGGTCTGGTCTTTGTTTTGTTTTTCCAAAGGGTACTCAGAACCTGGAGATTGAAACTGTGGGTACTACTACCTCTAAAAAAATCAAACCAATTGTGCTTTAAAATGCAAGTACTGTATTATTATGTCACTAGTGTATTAAAGCACGAGACTGTTATTTACTGATAGAATGCTATTAAATGCTTTTATTTGAACTCATTCTATTACAGAACATGAAAAGCAGCGGCTATGCAAAAGCACAGATTATATGAATTTGCACTTCAAAGTGAAATGGTTTTATAATGAATATGTGCGAGAACTCTCTGCTTTCAAGGATGCAGTGCCTGAATACTCTCTGTAAGTAATGTACAGGGAAGCTACCCCTGAGTTTGGGGTTGGTACAAGGTTTATTTTGGTCCAATATTGTTTCTCAAGTTTGTGCAAGATCTCAAGGTGCATAGCACTGACAACTCTTCACTTTTTGAACTTTCTCCTCTTTAATTCTTCATTCTATCAAATGAAATAGTCCAGGTATTAAAAGTGCTATTAGCTATTTCACAGGACTCTCTATCCAACTGTTGTAACTGCAGCTTTCATAAATGACAAAATATTTTGGTCAGAAAATGCCTGAGGAAGGTATGAAATATGGGAACAGTGGCAGTATTAGTTATAGGCCCCTGCATTTGTTTCACACCCAGACTTGGATAAAGATACAATGCTAATGGGATACACCACTGAAAGTATTCTTACTGGACTGCGTTAATATTCAGCTGCTCTTTTCATTTTCACCTTTTCTCTTGCAATTTATACACTCAGTCCTGTGCTTTTATGCGAGCTATCTCCTTAATCTCATTCCTTAATCTTCTGCAAGTCTGCTTTGCCGAGATGGTTTGGGGCCTGTTGTTGCTTTAAATTATTTTTTTTTTAAATAAACTGAAGAAAAAGAAAACACAGCTGAATTTTTATTATTTCTCCAAGTTATTTCACATACAAATAAAAAAATAAATGTTAACGAACTAATATTGATAAAAGACACACTCTAAAATTAAAAAAAAAAAAGTGCAGAATGTGATCCCTTGCAAAACATGGACACATTTCTCTGATGTCTACTACTAATTTTACATCACTATGGTAGACCATTTAGAGTATTGTGAAATTGAAGCCCCAAAGACCTTTTGGTAGCCACAGTGTCTTTGGTGACAAAAATTTTTCTAGGATGATAGACTTTTTAGCAACTAGAACAGACATGAAGACACAAGATGCCAAACTGCTGGGCTGTATGGCATCCCTCCTCTCAGGATCTTTATGAGTATACTGACTTGACTTTGCAAAATTGTTTTTAATTTTCAGGTGGTTTGAACCATTTGTCATTCAGTGGCTGGATGAAAATGAGGATGTCTCAATGGAATTTCTTCATGGAGCACTAGAAAGAGACAAAAAAGATGGGGTAAGCCTTTACTTTTTAAAGAAAAGAATAAAGAAAGTATTAAGAAAGTAATTTAGTATTGCAAAACCAGAAGTACATTTGGTCCCACAGTATCATTGTTAGACCACACAAGATACACAGTCTCTTGGAAGATAACCCTATGGACAAATTCCTGCTCTAATTCCATCTGCCTAAATTCCCCTTAGACTTCAGTCTATGACTTTTTAAAAAAAATTTTTTTTATTTATTACTTTTTATGACTCTAGGAAGAATTTCAAGTGTAAGAACATCAGTTAATACAGTTGTGATCTCTGAACAAGCATTAACTCATTTGACTGTTTCTCTCTAGTTTCAGAAAACATCAGATCATGCCCTCTTCTCTTGTTCTGTGGTTGATGTCTTCACACAGCTCAATCAAAGCTTTGAGATTATTAGGAAACTGGAGTGTCCTAATCCAGAAGCACTATCTCATTTAATGAGAAGATTTGCAAAGGTAAATTAAAATCAATGCGTCTCGACTAAGCTTCAGAGAGAGTGACATTGTGTTGCCATGTACTTAGAAGCTAAGTAATTCCAATGTTGTTTAGAATCAATCTCTTCTACCTCTGACGGGGACTCTAAAGACATGCTAGCTGTGGCTTAAGATTGTTTTTCATCTACTTTGTCAAAATTGTTTAGAATCATGGGATGGTTTGGGTTGGAAGGGACCTTAAAGATCACCTAGCTCCACCCCCCCGCCATGTTAGAGAAGTTTTATCCTCTCTCAGATTTCATATTTATATATTTTATACAGTCAACTATTATTCTTTCTAAGCACCGATTACAATTCCATTGATGGAAAAATTCAGTGAAATGCAATTATCTAATTAGTCAGTGCAAGGGAAAATCAAGGTAGGGCAATAAAGTATTGTTGGTTGAAGGTGGTAGTTCTTATTCATCTGCTGTTTAATAAATTCAACTTTGTTAGACCAGCTTCCTATTTGGATTGTAATATTTCCTCACAACCTTTAGATTTCCATTATAGTCCCGATGGCTTTGAAAAAGTTTGCATTTACATTTATTCATATTCTTCTGTTGCAAAAATTTCCCATTTGCAAACAAAGTTCCAATTTACATTATTATTGTAAGGTAAGCTCATATTGCCAGGCTTTGAACAGAGCTCCCTTGATCTTATTTTTTCCATTATATTTTTAATCTATACATTGTCACCCTAGAGGATTTTTAGAGCTTGCTACTGTTCCATTAAGTATGTAGCACATTGCAAAGTGTAGAGCTCTCAGTGCTTCTCAAAAAACAGTATGACTAAAATGGAGGTATCTCTGCTACTGAAGATTACATTCCATTAAGACGAACCCACCATCTGTTGTGCAGGGATTTGAAAATGTGCTCACAAGATTGTTTATATTATATCAAAGAAAATACTATATACTAAATGTTGTAAGCAGCCATAAAATATGTAAACCTCCTTTATATAAACATCCTTTTTTGTGTGTTTTTTAAATTATTTTTGGTTTACATTATGAAATTTACCATTTAAACGATTCTTCTCTCCTAGACTATCAACAAAGTGCTTCTTCAGTATGCTGCAATTATTTCAAATTACTTCAGCTCTTATTGTGATAAAGAAAATGTGGTGAGTAAAAAGCCATGTTTTGTCTCTGCCTTAGGAGTTACCTTTAAATGACTTACTGTACTTTTTGAAAATGTAATCACTTTTCTGTATGAGAAAAAGCATGAATGGAGGAAGGGATTTTTGTTTTGCTTTATTTTTTAAGAGGTCAGCATGTTTTCTTAGCTGTTTACATTGCTGTGTAAAAGCTGGAATATGTGGAATTAGTTACGAATCCTAGTTAATCATTTCAGTATTAAAGTAGAAAAAAATTTACAAGATGGCCAGAAACGCTCCCTGGATAACAGCCTTAGACGGTGGTGAATATGGTGACTATATCTGCATCTTTTTTCCAAACAGAAAAACATATTTTTGAGTTTTCATTTTGCATTGGCTTGCTTTTCTTCATCAATTTATTCATTAGAGAGTTTTTAAGATCCTTGTTCCCTGTGCAGGGAGTGTGTGCAGACTTTTCTGCTACTACCACTCACCCTCTGTGCTTTATCCATGCAGCAGCGAGAAGAAAATCATGTGCTATTTTGTTGCCTCACTGCTTACAAGGGACTCCCTAATGAAGGACCAAATTGCCATGGATTCAGAAATAAATGAGATATGGATGCTAAAGATGTGGTTAAGCAAGGCAAGACATGACCAATAGCTTACCATGACCAAGGAAAATTGTTCTTGTAAACTGACTTTTCAGTATCATTGATATTCAAAGAAAGCTCGTACTCCAGAGGCAGGCAACATTTAGTACTATGTCTGCTGTATTTAGTAGTATGTTTTACAGATGTATCAATCTATGATTAGATAAATAACTGCGGCACCATCCTCATACTATCCACCTTTAAAAATACAGCCCCTGTAAAGCTCTCACACAGATCACACAGATCTCAGGTTTGTCACAGCTCTGTGTACTATGTCTGCTGTATTTAGTAGTATGTTTTACAGATGTATCAATCTATGATTAGATAAATAACTGTGACACCATCCTCATACTATCTACCTTTAAACATACAGCCCCTGTAAAGCTCGTACACAGATCTCAGGTTTGTCGCAGCTCTGTGCATGTATAGGTACACCTTCTACATATTCCTTACCTCTTTCCCCTCCAAAGCAGAAACAGAGCTGAAAAGAACACAAGACTCTCCCCAGTGTGGAAGAGTGAATTCATTGCACATCTTCTACTTTAATGTTAATCAATCCAAACCAAGCTTCATCTAAAATAATCTGTCTCTGTATTTGACCCAATATGAGCCACAACTATTCCTGAAATTTAATGTAAAAAAGAAATAAATTCTGTAGCTATGTTTTTCCATTTCTTTCAATTTAATGATAATATTATATAAAGCTTACTGCTTCCTAGAAGAAATTATTTTTAATACATAGTGTTGAGTCATTGAGTCAAATGGTTTGTGTGGTCTTTTGGCCTGACCAATGGGATTTTTTTAATTGTTGCAGAGGTTGATTTCCAAAGTCACCCTGGTATGCCTATCTTTACTAAAGCTTTAGATGGAATTAATCTCATTATGATATAAAGTATTACATCAAATGCCTTTGGGGGGACAACTTATTTTTAACAGAAGCTACCTTTTTGAAATATGTACTTTTAGCTTAATAAAAGACCATTTGATCTGGTGATCTCAATTATATTAAAAATCCATCTCCTGCATTAAAGTTGATAGAAGAGATTAAAACAAATACTTTTTATTATTAAAGTTAGATATCGGTATTCTTTTTCAAGTCAATACTTCTACTGGTTTTATTAAACACTATAAAATGTGCACATAAACTGTTTAAATAAAGGCATACCAAAGGTGCCTTTCATAAAGACATGTATCTAATGTGAAAACATCCTCTTATCTTCCACCTCCTGTCAGAGTTCAAAAACAAGCCTGGTTTTATGTATTGTACTTGCCACTCACTTTGTTATGTGTTGTTGCATCCGGCTGTCTGATTCCTGTAAATGGCTGCAAAGAGTATTCTAAAGGACAAGAAGGTAACAAAATAATACGATGAGAATGTTTTTAAGCTCTGGTTCTGTTTTTTACTGACAGCAATAGAAATTTTTCCATTGAGCCAAGGTAAGCTTAGACTCTGAAAGAGCAACCTTAGCTAGCCTCAAATGAAACTTTGAAAACTGCCTCAGTATGAAGTATTTATTCCTTAGCATCAGTATATAGCCAAAGGTATTTGCACTTGTTTTGAACAAAAGAAACAAGATGTTATATTCAGCTACTCGTTCCTCCATTGGAAGTCATAATCATTGATTTGTGATATTGCAGATAATTTCCAGAATAATGAATATGTCAGAAGAGAGGAGATAGAGGAGAGGAGGACACAGTCTTAGTGATCATAAATTAATAGAAGGTAGATAAACAAATAGAAGGAGGGAGGTTTGTGGATTTTTCAACCATTATACAAAGCCAGCTGTCTTTTGCAGGAGGCCGAATAGCATGCTTTACTGAGAAGCAGTAATGTAAGTATTAAGAGGTTAGAGCAAATTTTTTTCCTTCAGTTGAGAGGACTCTGACAGGAAATTCCTTTAAGAGTAATGCAGAACCAATTAAAGCTAAATAATGTTATTGATCTTTTGAATACCAAGGTCTAATCCTACCATGTTTCAGCAGTACATCGGAACATGCTGCTAGTGAAAGGTACAAATGAGTATCAATCACTGTAATCATTCGACCGCTTGCCTGTTGTCTGAAAAAAAAGTATCTGTGTTTTATTGGAATGCATTACTTCTGATGTAAATTTAATCCAATCATAGTGTCTAAACAAATCCAATCATACATTGGAACACACTGACCTTGCCCAAGCAGAACTCTTTTAGCAAGTATTATCTTACTGCTTCCCCCCACCACACCAAACTAGCCCATAACGTTACCTGAGTACCCAAATTCTAGTAATAGATCCTTTCTTCCATAATTTTGTGATAAACTGCTTAATTTTATCCATGTTTTACTTTTTACCTTATATTTATCCGGCACTTGCTGTCTTTTACACTGTGGCTCTGTGTTCTGCCTTAAAGAAATAAGCTTAAACAGCAATATTTTTAGAGTAAATATTTTTACAAAATTCTGTTGCCTAATTCATTCACCAACTTTTCAAGCAATGCAAAATGTACATTTCTGAAATATTATTATTCTGTTATTAACAGAACTGCCTGTTGATCTGGGTTACAGTGCTGTCACAGTTTTCTGCAGACTGAGCCTAGAAAGCAATCTGGCATTCCCCTTCCCCCTGATTATTTTCACCCCCAAATTACTTTTATCATTATTGTGTCTGTTCTCAAAGAGATTATAATGTGCTACTTGCATTAATCCACCAGATGTAACTGTATTGAGTATGACTAGCAACTACGTGGAAGACAAGGTTCAGGACATGAAATACTGGGATCTGAAAACTGCCCAGCTGGTTGGGAGAAGGTGTTCAGTCTCCTGTAACACTGTCTTAAGGGCATAATGGGCAGTCACTGGCTGAGTGGGTTTGCTGACTGGGCAAAGAGGAGTGTGAATAGAGGAAAGGGGACGGCAGCAATGGTCAGAACCCGAGATCCTCCTCTAAAAAACACAATTGTGTGAATGTAGGGCTGCTGAAGAACTGGTCTTCAGCCCAGAGGCTGTGAATACACATATTCATCCATAAAAGGAACATAACATACACATTCTCACATTTGGTGCTCTCTTTGTAGCCCTGTATCTTGATGAACAACATTCAACAATTAAGAGTCCAGCTTGAGAAAATGTTTGAGTCCATTTTTGAAAGAGGTGAGTCATATTTGTTTCCTGGTTCATTCAAAGTTCCTTAGAGATCATTAGCATCATGTTTTCAACCTAGTCACAGCCTTCAATTCTGCTAGCAAAGAAAATCAAAATCTCAGAAAATCAAAATCTTAAAAAAAAAAAAAAGTCTACAAGAACTATTTAATGTCTTGACAATACTAGAAAGACCTAACACTATTTCACAGAAACATGCTAATGATCTGTAAAGTTCAACCAGCACTGGGTGTTCTGTGTTGTAATCTGTACTGCCAAATTTATTTTAATGTTTGTATTGGAGTATACTTTGCTTTTATATGTATTGGTACGTTTTGCCTGTATCTGAAAATGTTGTACAATATGTGCTTTGTGCTTTTTCTGTAATGTGTCATGTCTTTGTCTAATGCCTTTGACTTGCAATCCACTGAGCAGAAGAAAGAAGGAGAGAGATTCTCTTATGAGGTTTGTGATAGTAAGCATCTTTTATTATTCCTGACCATATTTTCTAAGGCTAAGAATAGTCACATTTCCTACTAATGTCCATTGATGCATTTCTGTAATTCCCTGTGATCTAAAGTCAAAAAGAGCTATGCTTGGGCATTCAGTTGACACTCTAAACTGAAAAATTTTACTAGGCAGATAGTGTAGTCTTTCAGAATGTCCAAAAATTCTATAAAACATTTTTAAGTGCACTTTTCAGTATCTGAGGGCCTGCTTGTATTCTGAATTTGCCACCATTTCACCAAGAGCTGCTTCTCAACAGTCCAGAATATGCTTTGCTTTATCTTCTTTTAGATTTCAGAAGATTTAAGAGTGCCTAAAGTCCTGTCAACAGTAAAAGGACATAAACGTGTGCTTCAATACTTTGCTGATTGTAGTTTTTGACTGTTTTGAAAGCTAAAGAAGAACTTTAAGTATTTTCAAGCTAGAATCCTGTCTTCTTTTTAAAAATCACTGTTTAGATAATGAATACGCTATCCTTATTATCAGTAGCTGGCTTTAAAAAAGAACACACACACACACATATCAGCTTTTTCTTGTTGAGACTGTAGTTTGATAGTTTCATAAAACTTTGATCTGATGTGACCACACTGTAGAGAGAATTGGCAAATACATTATTTAATATTTTCACATGCACAGTAGAATGCTGCAGAGGTAAGACAGTCCCCTGTGTCATGCAATGAATAGCACCTTCCAAATCAACCTACAGATTAACTCCATGGTGAGGAGGTTTTGTTGAGCTAGTAATAGTTTCTTGACACTGCTATGGCAAAAATACTTTCTGCTTCAGGGAACATGAACATTACTAATACTCTTGCCTTCCATGTTCCTATGTTCTGTGCAAAGTACTTTGTATTAAGGTCTTAGATCCAATCCTACATGTTGAATGTCATGAATTGTAAAAACAGCTAAGTGTCCATAAATCCTGATGAAGACAAGGGCAGAAGAAAGACAAGTAGCACTTTATGTCTGTATCTATCAAATCATTTTCAAATCAGAATACTTTCTCGAATCTCCAAAATATTCCATTTTTCCTCAAGAAAATTATTGGTTTTCCTTTTGCTCCCAACAGCTCATATAATAAAAAAATACAGTTAAGACATAATTAGGGGTTTGCGCACCAGTTTTCTTTCAAAATCTCTCATTGCTTCTCATCCTTTTTGTTTTCCCTTTTGATGTTAATGAGGATGAATTATTACATCGGTGTTACAGTATCGAAGCAACATTTCCTAGAAATGTGGTGCAACGTGCAACCCTTGGAGAGAATTTGGAAATAGTTTTCTAAAATCCTTTTGTTAGGTACTTTAAGTGCATCTCCAATTCATGGTCTAAGAAAAAAAGATCTAAAAAATACATTCAAAGTTTTGTTTGTTTCTCATTAGGGGAATTTCTTGAAGTACATTCACGTTCAATCTTTTGTCACCCACATCAAAGTGCCCCTAAAATGTTTGTCCTCAAACTGGAATATTTGTTCCCCTAGCTATTCCAAGAGCATAAACCCTAATGGCCAATTTGCCTTATTGAACTGGTACTTATAAGAAGCAAAACCAGCAATAAAATCTGTAAGCCATTTCCTTGCAGGAAGAAAATAGTTTAATATTTTGCTTGCAGAGGGCATAAAAAGTAAGATGATTTTCAGTGGAATAATGAGACCTATTTCAGTTGAAGCAAAACTAATTCTAAGAAAAATTAAATGCTGTTAATCTCCTCGGTGTCACATTGTGAGCAGTATGTCTTTCAAACTGTGCAAAATACCACAATCATGCAGCAGTCCCTGTGTTCAGAGTAGGCCTATTGCATATTGCAGGGCAGGGAGCCCTATAAATAGAGAAAGAACTGGGCTCTCAGCTCTCCTGCAATTAAAATAAAATAGTCTGAACTGTATGAGTTTCTTTATTAACTCTCCTGCTGTAGCCAAGCAAGAAGGGTACTTAAAAAATATATAAATGAGATCAGTCTGCCATAATCATAGAATCATAGAATGGCCTGGGCTGGAAAGGACATCAAAGATCATCAAGTTCCAACCCCCTGCCATGGGCAGGGACACCTTCCACTAGCCCGGGACCCCTCCCACTAGCCCAGGTTGCCCAAAGCCTCATCCAGCCTGGTCTTGAACCCCTCCAGGGATGGGGCATCCACCATAATAAAGTAAGAGTAGTAGAGCAGGATCCAACCCACTGTCTTTTTTTTTTTTTTTAATCAAGTTCAAAATAATGGGAACAGATTATCATAACGCAGAATTTTGCTTTAGCTCCTGTTTCATCCAAAAGGAGTGCACTAAATCATTTTTTCATGCCTGACAAGTTGGAAGCTGAAAAAAGGGAAAGAAAAAAAAAAGTTAAAGTTTTTGTTGCTTTTCACCAGATGGCAGAACATGGCAGAAAGGAGTTACAGCAATTAAGATATAAAAAAAAAAAAAAGGTGGAAAGCAAAAGCACATTGTTTATGTACAACAGCATGATGTTGACTGTAGGTAAATCATATTTCCACTCCAGTAAGTTCAGTTCCAACTTTACATGTAGTGCTTAGGAATTCCTTTAGGAGCTATATGTGGTCCTAAAGACTGTGATGGGCTGACAGAGGCCCAGACATGCAGAATAGTTCTGAATTGTCCATCTTTAAATCTGTTAAGTCAGAGGCCTAAGTATTTAGAGCAGTGGCCGCCAAACATCTCAAAAAGGGATTCACTGTACCTGGATAGTCGGGAGCGGGGGTGGAGGAAGGATAATGTCTATCGGAGACAAAAAGAACCACTGAAGTGACAGATCTGGTAGATACCTGTATCTTCCCTAGATGTACATACAATATGTAAAACTCTCTTCTGAACAGAAGTAATCAGTGGTCCCATTAGGGAACTGTAAGCAATTAGACTTGTGAAACTGCAGATAAAGGGAATTCCAATTAAAGAGGTTTCCTTTAACTCATGCAAAAGTAATTTGCATCTCTCTAGTTTCCTACAGAAACACTACCAAATTTGCAGCTAACAAGATTAAATCCATACTAGCACACATTAAATTATACCATGGAGTAGCTCAATCGAACACATTATGTCTGAAGCAGCCAAATTCATCAGATCTTTAACTCTTTTCCAAGGCTTGTATGTATAAAAAATTTCAGTTTTAGACAGGCAGCATTTAGAAACAATTATGTTCAAATATTTCTTATTTTTTCAGCTATTAATCAAAAGTATTCTCTGCTTTTGTTTAGCATTCAGAAAAAGTCAAATTTCTAATTATCGATTTAATAATCGATAATCAACAGATCTTATTGATTTGTGCCAACAAATTTATGAGTATGTTCTGTTGTGGGTAAAAATTAACTCTTATTATTTGAGAAGATGGTAAAATAACAGAAATATTTAGGAACCTAAGGACGCCAAGCAAATTAAGAATAGGAAGAAAAGTAGGAGTTACAAGTTAACGGCTTAATAACATTTCCACTACCAAAATAAGTTTGCTCTTTAAAAAAATCCAGATTTTGCCACCTGACCAACCTTCCAATAGATTTTGAGACTAGCCCACACATGCTGTGAACTTGAAATGGAACCCAAGAAGCTAAGGGATAAATGGTCTTTTCTCTCATTCAATTCTTAAATTAGATATAGCATATTAATGGCTCTCAACTTTTTTCCCCCCAACAATAATCTGCTCAGTTAGGGCTTTTTTTCTTTTAGTTCCTTGAAAAATTGTTCAGGTGTGGCTTTTTTTTTACTTCTTCATCAAAGTCTATGGAACAAATGAGACTTGAGGCAAAAGAGGCCCCAATACTGTAGGTACTTCATTTAAGTATCTTTATATCCCTATATGACATCTTTCAGATGCTGATCAGCATTGCCTTTTGCCTCGCTTTCATCCCTTCCTTCTGGTTGACTGCAAAGTACGTTAACATTAGGACTAGGTTAGCTCTATAATTCATCATTTAGCCGCATCTGGGTGGCTGAGATTTCTGCAGCTGAGTGTGTTTGTATCTATTTACTTAAACTGCTACTAGTAGCAACTAGTGTGAAGAATTACAGATTGCATTTACCTGAGTTCTTATACGCTTCCCTTCCCATAATAGGTCTGCACTATCCATAAACAGATTGGCTCATGAAACAGAGATGGTTGCTTTTATTGTTACTCCCTTGCTAGTTAAGTAATCTCAGCCAAGTCAAGAATGCTGAGGATTTCTTCTCTTGGTCACTGGAAAGCCTTAGATAAATGAATTAATCTCTTCATCCCTGATTCGCCTCACTGGGAAATTTACCTCCTTTACATAGTGGTGTTGAGAGCTGTGTGTCACTGTCTCAAGTAGTGAGTGTGATGTCAACCTGCATAAGTCTTGCAGTTTGTAAACTTCATTAAGCCAAACCATTTGCACAGTGCTATGGCACATTTCCCACACATTTCCCTGTGAATAAGCAAACCTGGTATAAAATGCGTTAGCAGGAGTTTTTCAAGCCATTACTGAAATAATATATCCTTCTAAAACACAAATAAAATCCCTTTTTGAGTTGCTGTTGCAACACCATGATGGTCTTGCCCAGCGTAATCACGTGAACTACAGCCTTCTAGAATATTTGAGAGGGAGACAGTAACTCTTCCTACTTCCACTGGAATCTTTTTTTTTCCACAAATATTTTGGTTTTTAAAACATCATAGCTGAACATATTTTTCACATTAAAAAAATCAGTGTATTAATTTATGCAAAAATATATCTTCTTCCCATGCCTGGAAGCGTTGGCCAAGTTCAATGCAGCTTTGAGCAACCTGGGCTAGTGGTGGGAGGTGTCCCTGCCCATGGCAGGCAACTTGGAACTAGATGATCTTTAAGGTGCCTCCCAACCCAAACCATTCTATGATTCTACAATATACAGAAGATCATCCACAGCAGTCAGTGTGTGTGATGTGCAGAGCTGACTTAACTCCACTGCACAAGACCATCCTAAAACCATATTTACCAGTATATCAGGGAAGGAAAAAAAAAAAAAAAGGTCATGGCTGTGGTATATTTGGATATTTGCCTATCAAGGGCTGATGCCCGAAGACCCTCTGATTTGCGTTGGGAACACATTAGCACGTAGAGGGCACATGGTAAAATAAATGAAAAGTGCACATTTTAGTCCTGATGAGATGCTCAAATTGCCATATTTTCTAGTAAACAAAAACAACAACAACATTTAAAAATCTTGCCAACATATTCTTAGTCATCACATCATCAGGTGCCTAGTACACCTTGGATGGTCAGCCCGCATACCTCTTTATATTCCACTCCTCCCTATGACACTGCATTAATGAGCATGAGCATGAGCAAGGCTGGATGTCCTGTCAGGTGCCTCCAGCTGTGCACACACAAACTTGTTCATGCAATTTGTGAGCACAAAGACCTCAAAAACCTCTAGCTCTTGCATGCACCTTTCGATAATGTCTGTTATGTCCACAATCTGATATTAGTATTCAATCAGATTTTGGCCAAACTAAGTCCAATTCCAGGAGAATTTAGCAAATATATTGTGTTTTCTGGTTATCACAACAACCTATGATCGAAAGTAACTACATTGGCCTCTGTAGTCCCAGTAACAAGGTGATTCTCTAACTTGTGCATGATCTGGTAAGAAATTATGAGTCTTCTGCCTGCTTGGTATTTTTGTGCTTTCTCTGATGTGTGCCATGTTCAGTGTGAATGCTTGTGTGTTCAGTATTTGTTAAATGTTAATATTCTAGTGGTCTTAAATTTGTGTTCTGTATGTATGCCACCAAAGTGTAATTCCCTAGTGAAATGCATTTCCTGGAAAAATCTTTGCCTTTGTTAGAAAACTCTATCTTTGTTAACTAATACAGACATTTCAGTAAAATTAGCTTTTTTTATCCCTGCTTTATGTATGAAGGAAAACAATCACTTTAAGTGTATGAACTGTCAGAGTGTATCTGCCAGGGAAACTGCTAAGACATGAAGTGGAGAAGCAACAGAACTTCTCTCAATGCAAATTAAAAACTAAATCAGTAAGTAGTCAAAATGTTAAAATATAAACTTCTCAGATTAGAAAACTGAGACACATCCATCACTGAATATCTTCTAAGGGATGTATCACAATTCCCCTTGTCACCTATTTCAGATTTTTGTCAAAAACTATAATGAAAATCTTGGTTTTTCTATGCTTTTAAACCACACATAACTTCTAAGGAGAGAAAGGATTGTCCAAGGTCAGAACATAATAGATCTTTGAGGATGTTTCAGAGTTTGTTTTTTCTTTACTTTGCCTTAGAATTACTGTGTAGTCTCATCTAAGTTATCCAATGAGCTATGACACTGCTTCCCCTTGTCTCTAAAGTGTGATTAAAAGAGCTGACCTACTGCACCATAGTACTCTGAAGCATCAGATGAAGAATAAGCACTAAACACTACTCATGCAGTTGAAAGACATGAAGATGCAAATAGAGACAGAGCTGATTATGTATTCTAATGAGCAGTTTCCCTTGCAATTGTCAGAAGACCTGTATCTGACCTTACTGCAAAACAGAGCCCAGAATTTGAGGATCATAATTGAAAATTATTCCTTACCGTTGTGATGTAGATAGCTGAGAGAGAAGGGACATCAGCTATTAATTCACATTCAGCTGTTGATCCTGATGATCATCAATCATATCACACAAGGGACTGTAACTATTTTTCCTAAATACTAAAATCTCAATGAGACAAAAAAGTTGGGTTTTTTTTAAGTTTGAAAAAGAATGCATAGCGAATAAACAAGCTACTGATCAATATCAGCAGAGTACCTTTTCTGACTAAATATCTGTGCAGGGATCCCCATCCCTGTAAATGTAAAACTATATCTCTCCCCTGCATTCTCTTTTTTCCTATGTTCAGAAAACCCGTATCAGAGGCACAGGAGCTGTTCTCTCTGTGCATCAGAATGTGTTGCACTGTGCTTGAATGATGTATGTCTCAATAGCTCTTAGAAACAGAAGTGCTGAAATTCAACATATTCCCTTCCCTCATACTATATCAGTAGAAGCAGCATGAGTGATCTTCAAGCCATCTTTTCCAGTGCTGGCTTTTCTACTTTTATCCTGCATTAATGGGAATATGGAAACATCTTCCACACAAATCACAAAAAAATTACCAATGGTGGCGAAATGCACAAAAAAAATAACAGATTAAAACATCTGCAGTATTATTAACGCAAGCACTACATTCTCATGCATCCTTCTCTTGGTATGCCTTGTGAATACCATTTGCCTGATAATGGTAATTCTGTTCTTGTGACTGGCAACACAATTGCACCATCCCATAGAAAGCTGTTGTTTAATGGCACAGTTTTGATTTCTAACAATATAATTCTTCACTATTATTATTAAATATTTTCCTTTAAATGGTAATTGGAGTTTTGGCCCACTAAAGCAATCCTGTGTTTCCAAACAGGTGTTTCCACATTTGTTTTTCCATAGTGCAGTGTATCATTGCATATAATTCCTAATTCATTTATTGTAATGGAAAACCCCAAAACATAGTGTATAAGTAAAATATAACATGACTTATCTCTTTACAGTTGGATCCTGAAGCTAGTGGTGTTCTAAAAGAACTTCAGATGAAACTTAGCAATGTATTGGATGAACTCAGCATAACATATGCTGCAAGGTAACACACCTATTTTACTGCAAACCTTGGAGAAATATTCCTGTTCAAAAGTCTACCTCATCGGTTAAGTCTGGGTGGTTGTTTGGATGGCCTGAGGTAGAGCTTCCTTCTGCCCTGATGAAGTGGTGTGCGTTTGTGTATAGCGGTAACCCCACGGTAAAGAAAACTCAAAGTGGTCTCTGGGCGTGAACATGTTACAGAGGAGAGGCTGAATGAGTATGGTCGTGTGCCAGCAGTGCCTGTGCTATAAGAAGCTGCAAGTTATTTTTGCTTCAAATTAGAAAGGAATCTGAGAAACAGGGATTAGTGCTGTAGTGGTATTCATTATGCGAAGTTGCTTATTTAATCCATCGATGAACCATCTGGGTGGTCAGTGTTCCCTTTTTCTGAGCATGTTTAGTTTGTAATATTGTCCTGCTTTATTTTTGCTCCCAAACCCTGGTTCTCTGATCGTTGACAGTGCATTAATATTATTTCTTTCCCAGGCTTCTTTCTGAATGAGCCAACTAGGTTTCTGCAAAAGAAAACCCAGGAACAGCTCAATCTAGGGTATGCTCCAGATAGCTAAAACATTCCTTAAGGGTCAGTTTATTGCTGGGGTTTGTGAAGTTAACAATGTTAGAAAGATGGCTAATATCAAGAAAAGCCAATGCATTATTTCGGCTTTTATTGGAGGGACTGGTCCCAAGGACTTACATGAGCAGCTTCAATAGCAGCTTCATGTTGATTTTACCTAGGGCTGTGAAGCGTGTAGGCAAGTGCACATCCAATTGTACGTGGAAAAGTTTCCAATGTTTTCAGGTAGAGATTTGCATTCTCTTTTTATGATGAGCCATGTAGCTGGAACAGCTTACTGCCTAATTATAATGTTTCTTTCTCTCACAGTAAATTCTCTTTCACTTTCCTCAAGTTAATCTTTGCCGTCTATCTTTTCACATTAATAGGCCTGGTATATTTATGGCCTCTGTTTTGCATTTCTATTCATAAACTAATCCTAAACCAATTCAATAAATCATAAATCAATTCAATAAATAAAATAATTGCCATGCATGCAGAGCCTTATTCTGCCTCTGAACTGTTGACTCTGATTAACTGCTGTTCTACATTGTTTAAATATATTGACCAAAGACTATCACATCAATGACACAAGACTGTCAGACACGTTGCTCAAGCAGATCAGTTAGGAAACAGAGTCGTTCTCAGCAAAGCTGAACAGAAACAACTTGAGGAGAAAGCATTTATTCACACTCACCTTGAAGTGGAAGATTCCTTCCAGGAGGAAGAGTCTAACTACTTCTTAGCAGGGTTTTTTTGTGAAATAATATTTTAAGCAGTCCAAATGTTTTAGCTCTCTAGTTGCAAAGAAGTAAGCAAAGTTTCTGCTGGCACTGACTCTGTGTGAAACCCAGGAAAAAGTCAAACGAGACAAATGGGGCAAAATCAGTAGAAGTTTTGTATTTGTCCTTAAGAAGAATATCAAAGCTTGGTTTATATTAACCATCAGGAGAAAAATATTTCATAGTCACCTGTTCCTGCTGTCCTTTCACACCAAAAATAAAATCTTGAGAACCTGTTGCTAGCTGGTCATCGATCATACCCTAAACTACAGACTCTGATATATCCCTTGCTTTCAGAAAATAATTACTTGGCACACCTACAAGGGCATGAAAAGCATAATGACCAAACAGAAACAAGGGAAAAACTCAAAAGAGTACGTGCTTTAGTTATCTAAGCCATAATCCTTAGAAAGAGTTCTTTTCAGTCTGTAACATCTGCAGTATCTTGCATTTGTGAACTTTCCATCATTGCAGAAAAGATTTAAATCTTGTTGAAGAACCTGATGCAAAATGATAAATGTTGTTTTCTAACCCAAAATCTTTTCATTCTTTCTCCCCCTCCCCCCCATTCTGTAGTTTCCAATTTATTATTGAAGATTGTGTAAGACAAATGTGCAATGAACTGAATCAAATGAGAGGAAATGGGAATGCAGCAGCCAACAAGAACAGTGCGGCCATTGATGCCGAGATTGTGCTTCGGCCTCTCATGGATTTCCTGGACAAAACGTAAGTGTGGCAGTCAGGTTTATGTGCTAGATTAGGAACTGGATGCTAGTCAGGCATACTTGGTTTTACCTCAAGCATCATTAATACTTAGAAACACTCTGTAGTACTTTTAATATTTGTAGTATTCACACGTGTGCAGAATACGATGCTTAACCTGTTTACTTATCCTGAGCAATTTCTATGTAAGCACCATGTTTGCCTTTCTATTTCTTGTCAATTTTTAGCTGCTTTATCTATAGGTCAGTCTTTTATCTTTAGCTATCTACATAGTCCTATGTATTAAGTTACGAGAGGGGCGTGTGTTGCTTTCAAGCAGTATGGATTTAAATCTTCATTATCTTTAAAAGGTTTACTCCACAAGTCTTGAAGAAAAACCAAAAGTGTTTATACACTTACATGTGCTATCCTAAGCTCATAGTTTAAAAAACTGGGTAAGCTGACTTTTGCCTGTAAGGTTCGATTCCAGATTGTCATTTCTCAAAGCTGTCTTCATAGCATCTTTGAGATTTAATTGAATAATGACATAATGGAAACAAAAATGGGTTTGAAATTACTGTCCAAAAATATTCCCCACCACAGGAATGTTAAATGGAATATTAGCAGATGCTAACCCCATGCACAGAAAGTTAGGATATGAAATTTGAAAAAACTACCAAAACAAACCCACTGCTAGGAAATATCACCTTTCTTACAAATATATATTTATAATAGGATTAGAAACATGTCATATTAATATAGTTTGGGGTTTAGTTATTCCTTATTATGCTTTTATTTGTGTGCTCACTAAGAGTAATAAGAGATGCTAGAAATATGAATTGGCATATTTATGATGCTATACGTATAATGACTTTCCGATAATCTTTTTTTACATTAATAGATTAGACATAATTCTGTAAAATTCCCCATATATGCATTTGTGTGATATTATTTTGAAAGATCTCTTCCTTTGCCTGAAAACTGCAGCACTTTATTCATTACACTACTTGTTCATGATGATACATACAAGATGGTTCATAAATATACCCTTAAATAAAGAAAAAAAATCTAAGGATATAGATCCTCCAAAAATTTGATTTTACAGTTAGTAATAGCTAGTATGATTGCACAGATATGACAGTGTATAGAAATAAATGCTTCCAAATGGTAGCTCTGAATTTGCATCAGCTATCAATACCTAGTTCTACATCACTGTAGAAATATAAGACAACAAGGAAGATGTTTTGGTTTTACTTTTAAGACCTAAACAAATTATATACCAAAACTTTAATTGAGGCACTTGGGAGTGTTAAATTGCATCATCCATCAAACTTTATACTGATCAGCATTTTGAATTTTTGATAAATCCATCATATATTAAGCAATAAATTGGACAGTGGAGATTTACAGTATTTTGTAATCTGCAAGTCTTTTTGTTTTACCAAAAATATTTAGTGATAATATTGCAAAATAACTAAGCCATTGAGAAATTCTGATTAGTAGAGAAAAGCTTAACCATATTGGCGATTAATCTGAGCATATAGTGATACAGAACCTCTGAAGTCTTAATGCTAGTTTTGGAGACTGGTTTGTGTTCTGTTTTATTCCAGTTTAAGTGTCTCTGCAAAAATCTGTGAGAAGACAGTTCTGAAACGGGTTTTAAAAGAGCTATGGAAGTTAGTCTTGAACAAGATAGAAAAACAAATTGTGCTTCCACCACTGACAGACCAAACCGTAAGTGTCCCGGCAGTAGTTCACACACGTTATAAAGGATTGTAATAATGTGCTTAATCAGGTCTTTGCCAAGGGGTGTGATACCACCCTTTTCTGTACCTTGACCATCAGGAATACTAATTGGCTGTAAGCAGAGTGTTGCTCTCTTGTGTTTCAAAGTAGCATAGCTGGGTTGCTCTTCCGTAGCTGGTAAGGAAGACTTTGCTCTGTCCTATACTGCCTGCCTCAACTCAGAGCAGTTTTTTTGAAGGCATTTTAAAAGAAGCTGGATCATTGACTTTGTAGTGTGCTTTCATACAGGGGCTTTTAAGTTTCATTTCTCTTGACTTCATCATGCACAGTAAGTGTTCCCTGCCCTTCCCAGTTGCAACAGGAATTCAATCACTTCCCTTTTCACAGCTCCCAGAAAGCCACAAATGCACCTTCCCATTCTCGAGTCCCGCCTGCTGTGCCATTCCTCATCTTGAGGCAGCACTTAACATCAGGAAGCTTGAGCCAATTTTAGCACTTAAGTTTTGGGGTATTTTAATAGCAGACCTTATAGGAGGTCCTTTTTGGCCAGGACTGCATTTACAGCCTGACAGGAAGCTGTGCTGCTAGACACAAGACCAGCGTGGGTGATGGCGAGACATGAACCCTGAGTGGTGACAGAGCTGAGGGCACTGGTAAAAATCTGATTCTAAGGATAAAACAAAAACATCCTGGCTTGGAGTGCCTTTTCTTAATTGCTTTTTGGTTTTTTTGAGGGACTAGGATAACATAAATGTTAATTCTTCTTGTTTTCAATCTTGTCTAGAATAAATTCACCATCTTTATGACAAGCTAATCATGACATTGCCGTAGTGTGCCTTTGGGCAACTTTAATGTATACATCCTATTATATCAGTTAAGCTGCTAAAAATCTAGTGGTCAGTATCTATATATTAAAGAAATATAATTAAATCATATTATAATATATTACAGATACATGAAATAATATTGCTGAGAGGCAAGAGGAAATCTAGTAGAACATGTATAAATGGTATTAAGGTAGTAATGAAACTACCTGAGCTGTTAGAAATACTAGACTAGACCTAATGACAAGATCATAGCCAGGACTCCATTCACTGAATTTGTTCATATTTACTATAATGCTCTTGTTTACTCTGCATAATTAGAAACAGCCTCTCTTACAACGTGTGACTGTGTCAAATTTATATTTCAGAGATTCTTAATTTGCTTTTCAAACACTGTGGTGTAAATTTTATCTGTAAATACATAAGTAGCATTTAAATCGGGTGACTACGTTTCCTATCAGGCATTAGGAGCATTTATTAGCTTTATGCAGGATCAGTTGTTACACTGAATCACAGAACAGCATGGTCCAGAGTTAAGAGGTTTTTCTGTTATTTTTTTTTAATTGGTTACCAAGAATACAGAATGACCTATCAAAGACTTAGTAAGACCACTTGACAATAGCACAATATGTTTAAGTTAATCAGGATAGTAAAACATTTGTTGAAAGATTTCCCCCCAAGAGTTTGAATGTAGACCTTTATTTAAAAAATAATTAAAATATTTTAGTCTTTCAACCATAGTGAAAATAACCTTAGACTGCCAACTGAATAGGGATGTCAGTTCATCTGCCTGAATTTGCAAGCACCTCTGTCATCCTTAGCAATGCTCAGAAATCACACCAAGCAGTAAGCTCTGACGCTGATGTTATAGACCATTTCAATAAAGCTTATTCCAATCATTAGTCTAGGAAGTTGATACTTCATTAAGCTATGGGTGTACATCTGGAATGCAAAACTTCCACATTTCAGGCAGAACACAGGGTGGTGAAGAAGCAGAGACAAGGAGCCCCGCTTCCCCCCCTCACTCAGAACGAAGAGTCTTCTGGATGGACGTTAGATTAGTTAGTAGCCAAAGGTAAGAAGGCTTCTGTTTATCAGCCAGTTAATGGTTAAAGGCAGAGACTGCACCTATCATTCAAGGCTCCTTAAGATCATTTTAAATGGTGATAGCTGTGATTTCCACAAGTGCTTTGCCTCATTCTTCATAAAACTGAAACAACCCTTGCTTTTCCACACACACTTAAGAACCATGAGCCTCTGACTAGAAATCTTTTCTGAATTTTGCTTGACCTTCATATAGTAGAAGATACAGTATCTTAAATACATAGCCTGTAATGATTAAGAAACATGAAGAATAGGTACAAAGGTACTGGCTTAGTCTTTCAGAGTGCTTGCAGTAGCACATGTGTATGCTACACTTCACCATCTGTTGGGTTCTATAGTGGTATCCTCTATATAAAATGTCCCAGTTGGCAAGCAGGGTGAAAGGTGCATAGCTAGTTGCCTTTATTTTGCTGCTTCCATCTACTTTTGAACATACAATTAAACAAAACCTATGAAAAGTAGGATACTGTGAGAGAGATGTATCCCTCTTGTAGCCTTGAATATTACTTTCTGTATGAGGATGAGAGGCACAGACATTCAGAAGCAGGGTTTATTTTTGACTTTTCATATTTATTTTACCATTCCTACTACTAATAAATAATGAAAATTTAAGCTGCAGTTCTGTATTACAACTTTTATAATTGAACCGTACAGAAGCAAAATTATTTCTGGAAACGGAAACCTCTTGGAACAGAAAGACTAATGAGAAATTGTGCGGTATCTAAGTTGGACTTTTTTTTTTTTTTCTGAAATCTGGACATTCAGAACTGTCTTGCTGAACTGCCAAGTAACTGTGATAGTAATTATATTTCTTGGAGTAACTGTGATAAAAAATGTGAGCATGGAATTATAGTAGGATTCTGTCTGTCTAAAACAAACACATAGGCATTGGCCTTTGGTATCATGCCAGGATTTAGCTATTGTAAAATATTGGTTTAACTTCATAACACTTTGATATATTTTCTTAAAAAATAATTTTTAAAAAAGGCTTTGGCATAACAGTACGCTGTTACTGTGTGTTACTCAACTGAGGATTTCACTGTAGACAGTTAAGCTTTTGCAGGCTCCTCAGGGCTGCTCATCTCCCATTGTGATTATTTGTATTAGCATAGCACCTTAGGGCTATGATTATGGACAAATATCTCATTGACACACTGTATAAGAACAATCCTAGCCTTAGCTTAAAAATATTAAATACAAAATGAGATAGCAGACAGGAGCACATGAAACCACTATCAACAGGATACGGGAGAGAATCATGCTGCAGGCATTCAACTACATGGCCTTATCAACTGAATGAAAATATGTCTCGTGTAATTGAAATTGTCATTTAGCTTTGCAAAACAGTGTCTTTGGCTAATGTACTAGCAGAAAATAAGATCATGTTGACATAAAAAGCAAACATGCTGTAGTGAGTCTGTTTCTTAAATTTTCAATGTGATTACAGGGGCCCCAGATGATATTCAGTGCAGCCAAAGATCTTGGACAACTGTCAAAACTCAAGGTAATGGAGCCAAACGAAGCTGTGAATGGCTTGCTCTAATGAAAAAAAAATAGGTGAAATATTAGTGACTGTGGCCTCATGCCTCATTCTTCTCTTATTTACTATAATAAGATTGAATATAGCAGTAACTATTCAGAGGTGAGTAATGATTTTACAGTCTCATCAAAACCAAATTAAGAATAAAATGTATGTTTATGTGGTAAAGTGATCCCTAGATGGGTCAAGATGTCATTCCCATGTTGTACAACTAGGACTTATGAGTATTAAACATCACCAAAAAATTAAATTCTGAGATCTCTGTGTTCCCTTCTGGAACCAGTTCTGAAAAAAACTCTAAGGTGGGAATACTAGTAATTTTTTTCTGCATATTATTTATGGTATGTATTGAAACATAGCATGTACCTCCACAATAAACTCATCAGCACTACATTACTATAGTCCGTAATAAACTTGATGGAGAGCTTACACGTTTGATACTGATGTCAGTTGTTTGCCAATCAATTTTGCCATTAGGATTTCAGATTTGGCAGAAATGTGGTAATTCATGCTTCTATGAATAACTGCTCAGTTTGCTAGAGGAGTGAAAATGTTGCCAACGTAAATCACAGGATGCTTATTTTTGACAAAGATTTCACAGGAGCATAGTCTCTTTATGACTCTATTTAACTTATGTTCAAATAGAAAACCCCTTTCTTTTTTTTTAAAACATGGGGCATTAACAAACATTACTTAAACTGTGGGGTACATTAGTAAAATCTAATATAATTATTTAAACTTAAAATTTAACCTTTTCCCTACCCCCTAAAACAGAGAAATAACAGGTTCTAGGAAAAGAAATAAAGCTACACAGATGCTCAGTATTAAACATTGGTTCTTTTTCCTCAATCTATGTTTTCAAGAAACGACGCGATTGCTCTAAGCTACAATTTGTTGTAAAAGAAGTCTGAAGTTGAATTAATCCCTGTTAATCATAATGGTTTGGGGGGCATTTGGCAGGTTTGTTTCTTCATTTGTTTTTCCAAGAATAGAGAGACAAGGCTGTGCCTCCTTCAAAATCAACTGCAGTCTTAACTTGCTTTGCAGGACCACGTGATTCGAGAGGAAGCCAGAAGCCTGACCCTGAGGCAGTGTGCAATAATAGAAGTAGCACTAGCTACTATAAAGGTACAGCTTTACTGTTTTTCTGTTCTGTGCTGGAATGACCAAGAACATGATTGACATAAACAACAGATTCTCAAATGAAATGGTCCCTTAGAATCATGAAGTTCCCTTTGATTTGTTAAGGACCATTTGATCCAAAGCTCCTTGTATTGACTTGAAAGCAAATGTCTGATAGTCTGCTTGCAGAAAAGTTAGAAAAAATATTCTACCAGTGGCAGACAGAACATGTTCTGTCAAAGGAAGTGGTGGCCAAAGCTTATCTGATTCTTCTGTTCCTTTAGAGTTAGTGCAGCTGAAGCAGCTGGGCTAAATCCTCGTTATGTTGCAGCATAGCCTCTTTTTCTCCCACAAAGGCAACACTAAGCCTGAAAACTGTAGTTATTCCTAGCTGCACTCTCCTGCAAACGTGTATGACACGTGGCTTTTTTACAGCACACCGGAGAACAAGGCTTTTAATACCGTGCATTACTGTGCATGATTTTAAATTCAATGTCCAGTTGAATTTATCAGCTTTTTACAGTTTTGAATTCACCACCTGATCTACTGTCACTCCTAAATAATTTGATTTAAAGATGCCATTTAATTATTCTACACATTGGTCCCTTTTCAGTGAAAACAAAAAGTCATATTCATCACACACCTGTTAAAAACACTTTGAATAAATTAATCTTTATGCATTACCAACATCTTGTTGATGCCAATGTTAGTAATGCCTAAAACTGCTTTAGAAAAATCTTAGCATTGCAGTCACTGTTTTACATTTGATTTCTTTAAAGGAGCTATATTAGAGAGAATCCATCCAACTTTACCTGGTGCTAATCTCACCTGGTGCTAATCTCATTACTAAAACTACAAATTAATTTATTGATAATTGATAAAGTAACTCTAGGATTTGACCCCTCTAGAAGGATGAAAGGATCAGGCCATAGGCCAGTTCTGAAAACTTTGTTTTCACTTCCACTCATTTTACAATTATTGCCTTCTGCCTTTTTTTTTTTTTTTTTTTTTTTTTTTTTTTTTACAAAAACTGAAGTCTTCACAGATTGGGTTTCAGAAGTCAAAAGAAACCATTAAGGAACATTAAATAATGTACTTATCACATTGGTCTGGATCTTCACTTGGTGTAAATAACTTGCAAGCAATCAATCTGTAGAATAATGGCATGGTTTTGTGTCTGTTGCTGAAGAGATCAGGAAGGTAAGGAGGCAGCCACTTAAGTATAAAATTGATGATATAAATAAAAGGACATGTTCATTATCAAGTCGTGCAACAAAACAGTGTCTCAAAAGACAAGAAAGAAGTATCAGCCAGGGCTCCCACTTGCCATCTTTTGTATTTGCAGTGGAATTGGCATTTCTTTCAGAAATAAAAATAATATTTGAGGATCACAGATATTGTAGAAACAGAAACGGAAAAAATGCTGAAGTACTGTGTGGTCCCTGTGGAGTCCTTAGTTCAGTATATGAATCTAATTATTTTCCTTCCAAAGCATGTTTTCTAAATAAATGAAAGTTGGGAAAAATGTAAATCATAACATTGCCTGAATTTCCGGTGCTTTAAACTCTTAAGATCCATAGATAGATATTAATAATTTTACTAAACAAAAGTCTAGAATTGGAGGAAAAATTTTAGAAATAGGGAAAATATTAATTCAGTATCCTTATCTCTGTATGCTATGTTCATAAACTGAGCAAAATAGTGCTCTCTGAAAAACCTATTTTCAAATTGCAAGGCAATGACATGGCATTATAACCTGCTTACTGTACTTGGTACATCTGGCAAAATCTTTTTCTTTCCCAAATACTGAGCAAATAATCTTGATTACGCATAAATCGGTATTGCAGTATTAGAAAGTGAACAAAGATAAAACCTTGTGAGTTAACTCAAGGAAAAAAAAAAGCTGTTATATTGATTTAGGAATGCAGTTTGTAAGTTTTAATGATCAAAATATAAAATTTTTTGTTCATGCTAGGTAAAAATTTTATTTAAAAGCAAAAAAAATCTGCCCAAATAAGAATAGAAGAATGGTAAAAATGGCATATGGTATCCGTTCAAAAACTAAGTAACTGATTATTGTAAGGAAGAGATTTGTGAGGAGGAGTATCTCTGTGTTACACAGTCTTTTTTAATTTTTTTTTCATTAATCTAATTTTTAGTACCAAAATCAATTCACTGAGCAACTTATAATTTCATATATGGTGTTATTAATGCTTTGAAGAGCATAAAATAAAGGAATAATCTTTCATCCTAAATATATATAGCATATCATCACTCTTTGTATGTTGTAAAAAGAACCTTAGCAATTTTTTTCTTTTTTGCTTAATTTGCAGTTTACTGTTAGAAGCAGCTTTCTGGCCTCAGTTATCACAAGCTGAGTTATCTATCTCAGCTATCTCATCATCTCAGCTGAGAGATAATGTTCACTGATAATACTGTTCTAGTTTCCATTTTTGTCTTTGCAAGCACTGTAACATATTCTACAAAGTGAAACCACCGCCCAGGATGACTTGTGTGGCATTTCTCAAGTTTTGGCTGAGACTGCAGTGCTACTGCATTGATTTCCACATCCTGGACATTATGCACTTGTGTCTGCACCTTCCATTTGTCAATATGACTTTCAAGCGTCTTTTGTCACCTATGAACCTTCAAGCCCCTCAGACTGGAGCATGAGTAGCTGGTGAACTATTTTAAGGTTTACATCTCTAAAGAACAGGGTATTAGGTGTCCAACTGAGTCTGTAGATTGATTAAGATCCTTGGTGAAATCATGAATACACTTTTAAATAGTTAAGACAACAGCAATTTCTCTGGAACATATAGTATGAAATAATTTGCTTAGCAAACAAATTTAATGAAGTATGCAATGATCAGAAGATAAAGGTAATTTAGTCAGAACTGCCCCCATAGGATTAAAACAATATAAAACTTTACAGCCCAATGACTTCAAATACTTTGCTTTGCTCTTAACAGGTATTTTTTCCCCTGTATAAATCAGTAGCCATTAACAGAGAAATGTAAATAATCACTTTTTTTATGAAAAGTAAATTTATGTTTCATCGCCTGCAAAAATTTTGAGAATTGGAAGGTGAAATGAGTAGACTAACATGTAATGGGCATGTATGGACCTTAGGTCTGCTTGTCATACATATGCTTAGAATGAAGCATTTAGTGTATATATATGTGTATATAAACTGAAATGCAACACTCCAAAAATGCAGGGAGTGGACCAATACTGCATGTCATAAAGTAGTCACAGTGTTTTCCTCAACAAATCCAAAATTTCGTATTCTAGGATCTTCTCTATTAAAATTTTAACACAATCCCCCCTTCCTTCAGAAAGAATATATTTTTTACTTGTGCTCTAAATCATGCCTTGATTTTAGAGATTTTTTTTAAATAAAGAATTAAAACCTATTCCACTCTTCACAACCTAAAAGTACCCTGCAAATATGTCAGTTTTAACATATAAATACTTGAGATCATGAAGACCAAGATTAAAATTCTGTGTATTTTTTTTTTTTCCCACCAGTCTTAAACTTTTACCTTTGGAAAGAAGCTCTGTAGTAGAGATGACGACAGTTACCTCAACTGTTATAATCATAAATCTAGCCACACACACCAGGTGTTATTTTTGAAATTCTGTATAAGAATTTTACTTAAAACTGTATGTCTGTAACTGGGGCTACTCTCAGATAATTTGCATCTCTGAACAACCATATTTGTTTTTCATTTTAGCAATACTTCCATGCTGGAGGAAGTGGGCTGAAAAAGAATTTCCTGGAAAAGAGCCCAGACCTACAGTCCCTGAGATATGCTCTGAGCCTTTACACACAAACTACTGACGCCTTGATAAAGAAGTTTATAGACACTCAGACGTCTCAAAGTAAGTGATCTGTAAGAGATGCAAGTGCATCAAATTATGTTTTAAATGTTTTAAATGATTGGTTGCCAGTCATGTTCTCCAAACATGACTATTTTAGAGTTTATTGTCACAAATTTGCCCATACGATCTTATCCCACGTCAACTGCTGATGTCAATCCATGGAGTTTATCTGAGGGCAATGCATTTACCAGCTTGTCACTTTACATCAAGAATAGGTCCCATAGCTCTGTCTGAGCACTGAATATCAGGGTTATTTACAGGAGCACTCCACACACATCAGGGTTGCAGCGGCCATACCCGAGTGCAGATTGTAACTGCAGAAACAGAGTAATTTTGTAGAGTACATTGGCAACTCTAAACACTTTCAAAACGGGAGGATATTAATTACTAATCACAAATAACTGCAAGAAGTGTGACATAACCCTTAAGGTTTCCTTTTGGGATTAAGAACAATAAATGGTGAGCAACATGTCTTTAATAGAGCGCACTGATTCCACATTACAGAACCCATCCTGTTTCTAGCAGGTCACCTGTGGATTCAAAAGAAATAGAAAGTTTCTGTAGACTAAAATATACCATTATCTTCCCTGTCTAGATTCTTTTTCCCTTGTACATTTCAGAATTCACATTCAAAACCACCCTGCTGAAAATGTCACATCACATTTTACGCCTGCTTATCAAAATGTTGATACTTTCCCAAAAGGAAACCAAGGCAGAGAACATGCAAGAATATGATATTAGGTGTACTTTGAATCTGGACATCAGCAACACTGAAGCCAATTTTTCCTGCTATAGGATTTCGGTGTAGTGCACCAAAAATGCAGTCCTCTTCATTTAAAATACATATACCTTTCATTAATGGTGTATGTCAGAAGAGGATTTTCCATGGCTTCAGTAAGAGCACAAGAGTTCATGGCTATACTTTTAAGCAAAGATTCCTTTTGTTTTCAAAAAGCAGCTATTTCTTACCATTTTTCTTATTGGTCTAGAACAGGGTTTTCATACTTCTACAGTATATACAGGAACTGCTTTTACATAATGTGCATTATATTCCATGCTGAACAGTTTCTTCATTCTAGAAACTGCAGATTTTTGCATAATAGTAATCTTTACTAGATTTCTTTTGAATGTAATGGGCATTTGTAAAAATGGCCTGTCCACCACTTAATGGCTTTGGGAAGGAATACAGTTTGCTGATCTATAAAGAATTACCCTGCTCCTGAATCGCAGAAGTTATAATTGGACAGTTAAACTGGAAATCAATTGCTTTTACCTCTGAAGTACAGTATGTTACTCACAGTATAAAAAGCATAAAACATTAATTTTGCAGCTTGCCCCAAGATTAATTCCAAGGAATGATTTCCTAGGCAGCTTGCATGTTAGACTGAGAACGTCTGTTAATAATTCATACATTACAAGTCAGAAAATTGCTATAAAACTCTAATATATAAGGAGTAGATTATTTTTTCCCCTTCTCAAAAAAGATTTACAATATGGATTTAGGCAGACAATTATTAAGTACTAGTATATTTTGCTTTTCCTTATGCATACTTTTATTGTAACTTCAGGAGAAAAAAATTATTCAGGTTGTAGCTATAAGCAAAGTTCTTTTATAAATCCTGAACCACAAGCCTGAATTTTCTGATTTTCATCAAGATTTCAGCCCGAGGTCTGTGTTCATTTCTGTGCACACATTAGCATGCCTGTATTTGCACACCAGTATTATCAGAAGTGTAGCCACTGGGAATGAAACTTAAGGAAAAGTGACTCATAGCTTTTCATCATCCTTTAATGTCTCATTTAAAAGAACTAAAAAAACTCATCTATTATGACCTCCAGCCTCACAACTGTAGCTGTATCATTTGCATTTAGTTAAAATGACCCTGTTTGCAAATCAGAACCTTTCTCTGAAGTATAATTAGATCTATATCAGCCCTCATATTTCTGCAGGTAACCAATCCATAGTCAATAGACAGTTGGATGTAATTAAACTCAAAGCAATGAGAAAAAGAATACTTTAAATCTAAAGAAAAGAGCATATGGAATAAAAACTATGTATATGTTTCATTCTTCTAAAAAAAAAAAATCTTTTTCCTTATTACTCATTTTTAGCTTATGAATCTTATTTTTACCTTATGTTAACTTATTAAATTAGTTTTACAATAATATAATTTTGATCTCAACCCTTTCAATTAAAGTGTCTAAGAATTCAAAAAGAATAATTTTCTTAAAATGCAAATTACTCAGCAAATAACTGGTGTCTGCCTTCTGAACAGTTATATCTAACAGAACTCAACATGATTAGAGGGAATGTTATTGATATTTCCATGTTTCTAATCCTGCAAAGACCTTGACTTGGAATTTACGTGTCACCCATAAACATCACAGCAAGAAATGCGTAACAGTTTTCTAGGCTTGTCTTCAAGGACTTTTGCTGACAGACAAAACTGTGTCTACACAAAGTTGACAAGTTCTTTTGGTCTGAAGTAACTATTTGACTGACAACTTACACTTGTTAGTAACCTGCAAACACATTATTAAAAAAAAAAATCAGATTTTCTCAATTTCTAATTATTCTTAGGAGTCTTCAAAAGATGTTATATCTTAAAGAAATATTTTCATCAGCAGTTTATAAACCTCATCTAGATGAAAGCAAAGCGTTAACATTTTTTAATCAAAATTTTCAGGTTCTTCACAATTTTCAAGTAGAAGCTTCATGGCAACATTGCAAGAGTTAGATAATGTTTCTTATTGTCGCTAGGATGCTCAGTTTTCCTGTAATGACTACTAGACTCAGACAATAATCAGGCTTACCTTTAACCACAAGTGAAGACACTTTTTGATTTGCCATGATAAACTGTGATGTTTCTAAGAAGCTGAAGGGCAAAAATTTGTTTAACTGGTGTGAGGAGGGGGAGTTACTTCCCTCCCCCCCACCCCAAAAGCATAATAGCTAAATAAAAGTGTATGTTATAGTCCTTGATACTTCCTACAGGGTCAAGTTCAAGAGGAATAACTAAATTATCCAAGAATACACTTTTGCGCCATTTCTAAACCAGGATGATTGAACCAGTTTTGATTCCCAACCTTTGTGCCTACACACTCCTAAAGCACTTCCTGGAAACAAAGCAATTTACATCAGCAATATTAATAAAAACATTCCTAACTTTTTAAATTATGACTTAATCTCAGGGATTCATAGTTTTTTTCATGTGATGGTTTCAATACACTAAATACTTGAAATCTAAACTCTTATTGCCATTTTCAAATGCATCAGGAGACTACATTGTTATGGACAAATTATCACATGGTCAGGACTAACGAAGTTAACTGGCATCTGACTCTGATCGTTACATTGGTAACAGTATGATAGTAAGGGGGAAGACTATCTATTTTTGTCCCTTAGTATAAAAAGAATAGGAATTTTATTTCCAGAAAATAAGCAAAACCTCCCAGCACTTGATCCATTTTAATGCCAACCCACAAATGTAAAACTTGTAGAGCAGCATTCTCTTCTGCAAATAAGTTACTGGTATTGTTTGGTAGGAGAACTTTTACAATTTTACATACAATGAATTATAAACTGCTAATGAAATTTAGTTCCACTTATCTGAAGTTCACATTTAATACTAACCAGAAGGTGTCCAGGTGATTCTGCGATGCTTGTTGTAAGCACATCCTTCTGGACCAGTGTTTTCTTATACCAACAGACACAAGGTGTTAGTGCTGCTGAGAACCATTTCATGGAGCAGGTCACTTTTAGAATATCTAAAATGGACACAGATAGACATAAATGACATTGAAAAACCTGAAGGCAGGGTAGTGAAGAGAACTGCATTTCAAAGCCTGAGTGCTTTGAAATGTATGTTACACAGCGTATGGTCATTGATAATACCACTGCAAAGAGCACACAGCCAAGTGAGAATGTCGTGGCATCAGTACACCATTACCAAGCAGACTCCCTGAGGTTCAGATGTCTGATTGGTTCTGTTTGCTTTGGACCTTTTCAGCTGTAAACTGTCACTTTTAGATTGGGTACTACTAATAATACACATTAGCTCATACTGTAAAAGTGATTTTTTTTCTCCTCTATATTCAGCTGAAGGATAACATTTTTGCATAAATTCAGACCATAATATGGATTGTTTTCAGTATCCTTTGTGACCAAACAATTGTTTGTGAACACCACACCTGTGCCAAGCATGAATCAGTTGTAAAATAGCAGCACACTACCAAGCCTGACCTGTAAAACCCTGCTCAAGGGACTTGGGGGTTCAGTGCTGTATGGCTAAAACACACCATGGATGGCTAGCAGCTGGATGGCAGCCAGCACAGAACATCATCAAGGAAAGCTCAAAGGTTTCTGCAAAAGAACATGTATTTGTACATTGATGACAAGTTGTCAACTTACATCAACTCCAGATAAAAAGATCAAATTTCAGTTTAGATAGGACAAGCTACTTTTAACTAAACTTGAGCTAAATTCAACCACATTTTTGCAATCAAGACAAAATTTTAAAAGCAAAAGGACAAACTCTTACTGTATTTCTGTATTTCAGAAGAGAAGGAACAGATTCAGAACACTGAAGTAGAAGCACATCCATATCTATTAGGCTGTTGTACAAACTTTCCTACTCTGTGGTATATTTGACTTACTGTTACTCAAAGCTCAGACCAGTCCTGGTGAGGCTTCTCAAAATTCATTCCAAAAAAAAAAAAAAAAAGAGAATTTTCAGCCTGGCAGTCACTTTTTTCTTGATTTAAGTTATACCTTCACCTTGTAGACTACTTAATTTAAAGGATATAAAAATTAAAAGGAAATATATGGCTGTGGTTTAGTTTAGCAACTGTCTTAAATCTTCAGTCATTTAATAAGCTATAGCCTGTGTTGTGAATATTTACTTTGGTTAGCATCAGCTCTAACAACATTGGGACAGATGTGATTTCAGTTTTAGCAAACTATATAAAAGGACAGCACCACAAACATTAGTGTCCTGAAT